TGCACATTTTCTCCTGTGTTTTTCCTCGGATATTCTTGGCATGACCACAGGACTTTGTAGGGAATAGAAGGCTATAAGCTCTTGATTCAAGAATCGCCCACGTCTGTCATCTGTGTGGCGCTGAGTTGATTGGGCGGAATCTTCTCGAGTTCTATAAAGACCTACAGGCGCCGAATAAAGCGCTTCCGCTGAAGTTTGCGGTGGCCGAGAATCCTATTTTCGAAGCATGACAGATTTTCAGGGGGAGATGTTTCATAGTGTTCATCAGTGGTACATTGCGGAAGGTACCTCAACTGCATCAGATCGTAGCTTGGTAGGCTTGGTGGTGTGTAATTAGGAGGTGGTAGAAGGCATCATAATCAGCAATACGATAGGCTTGGGTTATATCTTTGAGGACACACACTTATGAGTCGATCATATGATTTAAACCTGGATTTCTCTTTTGTTTCTGTACACCTGCAAGGAATCAACAATTCAAAAAGACATCGAGCCAGAATTTGAAGAATTTGCTTGAACACTATATTGGTTTGATGGTTTCCAGCCCAAGAAACATTGTAAGTTTTATGGTGGCTTTGAAGCATGCTACAAGTCTAAACCATGATCTACAGAACCCTCGTAAAACCAAAATTGTTACTTGGGAGTTCCTCTTCCACCTCTTGACCCACTAACGCTCTAATGAGAATGAAACTGAATTCTTGCCATCTATCCATCAGAGAAATTGAGAATTTAAACACAATCACAAAAGTCATAACTTTGAGGGTTGCCAAACTCATGAAATATTCACGCCTTGATAAGCATACTTTGATTGACCTTGACAGGCACGTTCGGCACAGCGCTTGGCACAGCTTTCGGTACAATTCAACTACTCGGCACGAATTAATGTGTGCAGAGTTGAATACCCTTAGAGATCTCCTCTAAATTTTTCAGCAAACTGCATGGAATTTTCTTTAAAATTATCTAGAAATTCCATTCGAAACGGACTTCATTATAGATCTTCGCAGAATTATTTTGGAATTATACCCTCAAAATTCACTTCCCATGGTATTTTTCACGAACCCATCTTGACTCTTGGGAGTTACAGTAAAAACTCTCTTAGAGGTTTTCGTAAAGCTTCCTAGAAAATATTCTCTGAAATACCTTGGTGTTATCTCTAAAATTCATTCTAAAATCTGCTCAAATTTGTTTTGGAAAAAATTTAAAAATTTTCTTAACATTTCTTCAAAGTGACTGTATCCTGATAATCTAGTCCAGTCCAATGGTCTCAAAATCCTATTGGACGGGATATATTTTTCCAGATTTGTCATCTTTCGGTTTTGTCCCGGTGACTTCAAATTCCCAGCTTTTTTCCAGACCAGGTCACTCTACATTTTACATATAAATCGCTGGTTTTTAATCCCATTATATTTGTTTTGCCTTGAGACCCAGCTTCGCAGGAAAATTATTCCGAATAAGACACTCAACCAAAATCTAATTCGCGGGTGGATTCCTCCAATGAGAAATCGTAAAAACAGCGCTTTCATCTAAAAAAAATATGTAAGTTAATTCCATCTAAATTGCAATAGTAGCAACCTTACAATACTTAAACTTTACTGAGAAGCTAATTTTATGAGCTCAATAGGTTTCCAATGAAGACCTAGAATACTCAATAGAGCCACTCTATGCTGTCAAGGCAATGCTTGGTACGTATTTTTGAATCATTATTAATCATAAAAGTGCTACTCCAAGCAAAAGCAATGCTGTAGAAAATTACCTAGCTGACCGATCCTTTTCAAACATTCAGACAATAAAATATAACCCACTAGGAAGCTTTTGGCATATTTATTTCATTTAACTTCAATACCATAACCGTACGCTCGCACCTTACGCTTAACTCCACTCATTAGGTTCTGTACAACATCTGGCTGCAGCTTCTTCTGTACGGAAACCCACTTTTTCTTCATGTCTTCCTCAGATTTTACCTCCTTGGGATGCTTCCGTAGTGCCTGCTTCACAATAGACCAGTATTTTCCGATGGACCTTAGTTCCGGTGCGTTGGGGGAGTTCATGTCCTTGGGTACGAAAGATACCCCGATAGCTTCGTACCACTCCAGGACAACATTTGAATAGTGGCACGAAGGTAGATCCGGCCAGAAGATCGTAGGGCCCTCGTGTTGCTTCAACAGAAGAAGTAGACGCTTCTGTAGATACTCCTTGAGGTAGATCTCCCCGTTTACAGTCCCAGTAGTCATGAACGGCGCATTCCGTTTGCCACATGAGCAGATCGCTTGCCAAATCATGTATTTTTTGGAAAACTTTGAAAGTTTCTGCTTCCCCACTTCCTCCGAAACATCAAACTTGTGCTGGGCGGTGAAGAACAGTAGCCCCGAAAGCATCTGGAAGTCCGCCTTGACGTAAGTCTCATCATCCATGATGAGACAATGAGGTTTCGTCAGCATCTAGGTGTACCGTTTCCGGACCCGTGACTTTTCCACCGTATTTTGCCATTCGTCTCGATTTGGAGCCTTGGACAGATTCAACTTTTTGGCCACATCCCTGACCGAAGCATTGGGATTCCGCTTAAACGCTTTCACGACACGCTTATGATCCTGATCACTAATAGAACATCCATTCTGACCGCATTTCTCCTTCCGTTCAATGCTCAGAGTTTCGTAGTACCGTTTAATCACACTACTGCACGATTCCGAGTTGTTTTCCGATGTCCCGATGAGAGGGTTGAGGATTTTCCAGGTGCTTGCGCAAAATCAATTCGTGACGTTGCTTTTCGGGTGTCGCCATTTTTTCCAACTTTCGAAAAACTGACAGCGATAAAAATGCAGTGTAAACAATGCATTCTAAACTACTTCTACCCAAATTTTCAATAGAAAATACCCAATGGGTAATTTTCTACAGCGTTTTTTCCGTGATTCAATTTGCTTCCGTGCTTCCGTCTATTAACGTCTCTTTAAACTGTTCCCCTGGTAGAGGAGAATTAAGTTCATTCGAAACGGACAATTTGATGTGGGAAACCCTTTACTCATAAAAAACATCTTCTCTTAAAAACTGGGTTTAGAACCAGGCTCTACTCTGCAAGCCAATTGAATTCAACTGAGTTCCTCAATGACTTGCCTTATCTAAAACCAGCTTAATTCTTTACCATTCTTGCATTTACTGAAAGGCGGTCCAATGCGCTCAATTTTTTGTTGGATACAGGTGGATCGATCAGACGCACCAATCTACTCGAAGGTTAAATTTTATCAGACGCAATTAGGTGTATCTTCTATTAAGAGACGCATATATCCATTAGTAGCTTATTTTTTGAAACAACTAACAGCGTCTAGCGTCTACGGAAATGTATTTTTATCTCAGTTCAACTCAGGAATGTTTAGAATGTTAGATTTATAATAGGCTCAAAATCATCGAAATACCCTTTTACTTGAGTAACTTTAGCTCAACTTGCAAAAATTGCAAGAATTGAACAACCACCACTTCACAATTCCATTTAAAATTTATAGTTAAAAATCATCCTCAAACTACACCGAGTAATTAAGTAGTTTGGAACTAGTCAGTCATACTTATTAATAAATTTCTGTTGTAAAGAAATATTTCGCTTAATTTGAATTAAATTCCCTAAGATTCCCAAATTTTCCAAATCCAAAAATAAATTCCCTACTATTCCCTGATTTTCCAGGTTTTCATAGGTAGTCGACACCCTGCTATTACTAGCGACTTAAAAAATATAGAAAGTTATCCACCCTAACCTCATCTAAAGCAACCACTTTATGAAACGAAAGACCGTTTAATAACTGTCTGACCCCCTACCAACAAGTCAATTGCAATAGAAGATTTTTCACTGATGGATCCACTGACTTCGGTGTCTTCAATGAATACTCAACCGCCTTCCGGAAACTTCAGGAACCTTATTGTTCCGTTTATGTTGTTGAGCTAGCAGCAATCAACTTCGCATACACCATAGACCATTACTCATCTTCTCGGATAGTCTCAGTTCGATTTAGGCTATTCGGTCGATGAAACAAGGTAGACACTCCTTTCAAAGGTAAGGGAGCTGATAAGTTTGCTGGTCGAAAGATCATATATGATTACCTTTGTATGGGTCCCCTCACATTGCGCAATCTCAAGGCAATGAGAAGGTAGACTCTCTCTCTCGCAAAGGTGGGCGCACAAAAAGGCGAGATTTATGATAGACAAATTTCACATGATGAATTTTTCCCATTAGTACGTCAGAGTTCTCTTCTAAGTTGGCAAAACGATTGAACAAGTAATTCTCTTGGGCGGTGGTTACATTCCAATACTCAAAATGTTTCTTCGAGAGCGTGGTTCAAAGGTCTGGTTTTAAGTCGTGGCTTCATTTGCGTGATGTTAAGACTTATGTCTAACCAGTACTCGCTAGACGAAACCTGTGATCTTCCCTACATGCAGGCAATCTACGAATTCCTTTGTTTGTCTGTTGTTAGAGTTTGATGTGACCATCCCCTCCCTTCCACACATTTACCAGCCATTGTGTCCCAGTCTTATTATCCACCTGTTTCTGTGCTACTTGCCCCTGCCCAGCCAGCATTTGGTTAACCATTCGAGAGTAGTATCTGAAGAAGGCTTCAAAAACCTGTTCCCTACCTAGCTCCTTCCAATCAAAATTGTTACCCCTTAACCTTTTGCCCGCCACGAGTAATTGGTACCCAATACTAACCTTAGATTTACTGCTGTTTAAAATGTTGATTAAAAAATTACGGATTTTTGGCTCCGCAAAGTGTCACACACGACTGAGCCTAGTAAATAAACCAACTAGTTAAAAAAAAGCTGTCCGTTAATCATAGGCAGATGCGAGTGCTTCGTTTACAATGTGCATCATAATGTTTAGCACCAATACAGGAATCATCACTTTATTTACATTAAGCTACACCACCGCCATAACCTGAAGAAGATTCCCATTAGAAAACGTAGAACGTAGATGCCTTCACCATACAGGCCCTCTATAATAAAAGAAATCCAAACCAACCACCTACCTTGAAATACTTCACCGTCTTGACCCGCAGCTCCAGCGTGGCATCCTCGTCGCATATCATTATCGTATGCGGATGCTGCTGGAAGGCACTGACCGTCCACATGTGATTCACCCCCTCCTCGATCGCCTTGTACAGGGCGAAGGCCTTGTGTGCTCCGACAATCAAAATCATCACCTCCCGGGCATCCATAACGGTCCCGACGCCGACCGTCAGCGCCTGTTTCGGCACCTTGTTAATGTCGTTTCCGAAGAATCGAGCATTCGCTTCCAGCGTGTCCTGGGCCAGAGTTTTTACCCGGGTCCTCGACACTAAACTCGAGCCCGGTTCGTTAAATGCAATATGACCGTCCGGTCCGATGCCACCGATAAACAGCTCGATTCCACCGGCAGCCTTAATCTTATCCTCATAGGCATTGCACTCCGCTACCAGATCCGGTGCGTTGCCATCCAGAATGTGCACATTCACCGGATCAATATCGATGTGCTTGAAGAAATTGTGCCACATAAAGTAGTGGTAGCTTTCCGGATGCTCCCGCGGTAGATCGACGTACTCGTCCATGTTGAAGGTTTTCACGTACTTGAAGGAAATTTTTCCTTCCTGGTGAAATTTGATCAGATTACGGTACAGCCCCAGCGGGGTGGAACCCGTCGGGAGTCCCAGGGTAAAGTACCTATTCGGGCCCGGTTTGAAGTCGTTGATACGCTTCGTCACGTACTTGGCCGACCATTCGCCAACGTAGTCCGCCGTGTCCAGAATGATGAGACGCATGGTTGTTCTGCAAATGAGTTGTGAGAAACGGAATGGGACGATGATATTTGATTAGTTGAGTCTGTGAGATCTAATAATGCGTGGTCAAAAACTTCTGGCCTCGACCTTCACAATCGAAGCTGTGCGTGACAGGAATGCTGTTAGGATTCGTCAAATCAAAGTAGAAAATGAATCAAACTGCTTCTAAAGGGTGGCCCCATTAAAAAGAAGTACTTATCAGAATATCACAACACCCTTCATACAGTGTTTGACGGAATTCAATATTAATTTACAGCTCTGCACAATTGGAATCTGTATCTACATCTCTACATCAGCGTCCAACTAGAATAATGCCTCCATAAAATAATGATTCATACCGTTCCTTGTTGATTCTGTTGCACTTTCGATTTGTTAAGTCTCGATATCACACACAACCTTGCACGTTGTTTGCTCGCCAAGCGTTCAACAAGTGGCGATGGTGGTGGAAATCCAATAATACTCTAATACCTGCTCTATATATCCACCCACTTCTGCTGCTCCCTCACTCACTAAACAACGCGCACCCGCAGATAGGCGAGAGGTATCAATATTCCATACAATAGCACAAACTAATGCAAACAATCATCAGCTGTTGACCGTCCGGTGGCTATTCTAGACTGACTACACAACCAGACCCGAAGTTCGCACATTGCACTGGTCGCGGTCGGTCATCCATAAACTGCTACCGTTTTCGATGGACACGTTCATAGCGACCGAATACCCATACAGGTTCGCCACGCGCCCCAATCTTCGAAACGAGAACGAGCGTTTCCTTATCGTTCAGTGGCTCGTCTTTTTCGTCCAGCTGAACGACGCGACGACGATGCGATGATGATGTCCGGTGCATGTATGGCCTTCTTACTACATAGGTACATCGTATCGTTAAGGTTACCGCGCATTTCTGACTGATCAACTGACCGAACCGACCATCGCTAGCATCGTCGTCCGTCGAGGTGCTGCTGGCGAGCAATAATCGCTTATTGATGAGGTGTTTGCAAAAATTGTAGGTCAATGTCGTTTTGGTAGATGTGCAAGTGTTGGAACATGTGGAAGGTTGGATACGACCTGGCTGATACCACCAAGCGCCACCAAGCTCAATCAGTGTGTGAAGTTGTTTGTTTTGGTTAGTGCAGGCAGACGCAGATGATTGAGATCTGTGTGCCATTTCTTGGCAATGAATTTGAAATTCGCGATGATCGGTAGCACTGTGCGACAATCTGGGGTTTTACGTAGGACTACGGTAAATGTGCTAGTTTTTGGTCCTAGTTGTTCCCTAGTTGTTGTATATATACCAAATGTATTTCGATGCAAGGTTAGAACATAAGTTTTGCTATAGTATATCTAGGCAAATAAAACCAAGAACATTTATTTCAAATTTGAGTTGGGTCCTAGGGCTAAAAACTGTCACACTTACCCTATGTCTTTGAGTGCCTTCCCGTGTTTGGCAAGACGACCTCATCAACTATTTATTTCCACGAATGTGTGTATGCGGTTATCAAGTCTTTCTAATCCCAAGAGTGAATTTTAAATGCAGCATTGAATTCGATTGATTTTCTAGATAGCAAAGAAGGCAAAAATATAATGTGGCAAAAACGGGATGGTGTTGTATTCGGGGGCAATTAAAAAACTAAACGGTTTAAAAATTTAATGTTTTAAACACTTATAACATGGCCATTTATCAGGGAGGCAACTGAAATTCCATTTAAAAATTCCAGTTTTTTTCCGGTTTTCCTGGTCAATAAAGCCCTGCCAATTTAGAATAAGTACGCTTTCAATCGGATGTATCTCAGAATGAGTTTGGCTTAGAATAAAACGTTATTAGAAGAAAATGTTATGTATTTATTGTAGCGGCACCGGTGGTGTAGTGGTAAGCGTGATTACCTCTCACCAGAGCAGGCCTGGGTTCAATCCCAGTCGGCGCCGCCGGGATGTTCTAAGGGATAACATCTCTGATCACGCCTTCCTTCGGAAGGGAAGTAAAGCCGTTGGTCCCCGGTTCATGAGTTGATGGGTCGATAGGTAGTAGGGTCCAGGTGTTGGAACTGCCTCCCTGGCGTCGGTAGGTGCTAAGCACAAAAAACAAGATCGACAGAAAACAAATCAAAGGAAAAAAAATAAAATGTTATTCCTCTCTAATAAAAATTCGAATTTTGGGCTTGATACGAGCCATTAACTTCAGCACAACTGCTGGTCAACCTCACCGGCTGTTTTTTTTTTTCAATGTCTGGCCATTGAAATAGCATTCTTAGCCATTTTCCTACTTTTTACCCTTCTTACAAAGAAGGGTAAAGGGTGTCCACGATGAAATTGCCACACTATGAAATTGCTCTAACTTTTTAACCGTTGGGTAGAATTTAATGAAAATTTGGGTGGATTTAGTTCATAGTGCATTATTTACATCCGGCAAGTTTTAAAGTCCTGTGATCAAAACTCGCGGAAATGGAGTCGAAAGAACAGCTCGTGCGTGATAAAATCTTGCGCATTCATCACGAGAACAAGGATCTCTCGCATCGTTCCATCGCTAAAACGTTGGGAATCGCGAATTCCACGGTGTCACGAGTGATTAAGCGGTTCGAGGAACGGTTGACCACCGATCGGAAGCCCAGAAATGAAGGAAAAAGTATTCCGTACAACACCAAAAATCACAACCGCGTAGTTGGGGCCTTCAACCGAAATCCTAACGCCTCCGTTAGGGATGTGGCTAAGAAGCTGCACCTAAGCCGAAGTTTTGTCCAGAAGGCCAAAACTAAGGCTGGGCTTCGAACGTTCAAGGTACAAAAGGCCCCTAATCGCGACGAGAAGCAGAACAAGTCCGCCAAAACCCGTGCCAGGAAGTTGTACCTCAACATGCTGACGAAAGTTGAATGCTGCATCATGGACGACGAAACATATGTGAAGGCCGACTTCAAACAGATCCCCGGCAACCTGTTTTTCACGGCCAAGGATAAGTTCAGCGTTCCGGAGCATGTCCGCACTCAGAAGATGTCCAAATTTGCGAAGAAATTCCTGGTTTGGCAAGCCATCTGCACGTGCGGGAAGCGGAGTGCGCCTTTCGTGACCCAGGACACGATGAACGGACAGGTGTACATAAAAGAGTGCCTCCAGAAGCGGCTGCTTCCTCTCCTGAAGGCCCACAACGTCCCAACAATCTTCTGGCTGGATTTGGCCTCATGCCACTACTCCAAGGACGTGCTGAAGTGGTATGCGGACAATAAGGTCAATTTCGTGCCGAAAATGTTCAACCCTCCCAACACTCCGGAGCTCCGCCCCATCGAGAAGTACTGGGCGATTATGAAGCAGCACCTTCTTAAACGACCTAAGGTAGTGAAGACAGTCGAGGAACTGAAGAAAGTATGGGTTTACATGCAAAAAACGGTTGATTCACAGGTTGTGCAGAATCTTATGGCCGGGGTTAAGGCCAAGGTGCGGGCATTTGCGTATGGACTGTAAATAAAATACGAGTGAAATGGTAAAATGAAGTTTAATAGTTATTTCTCAATCCCTGAAAATTTGATGGCAATCGGATGAAAACTCGAATTTTGCGAATCAATTTTGTGTGTGGCAATTTCATCGTGGACACCCTTTATAGATATCACTTGAAAAACCGACTATCGATCCGAGGCCCGGAGGGCCGAGTGTCATATACCATTCGACTCAGCTCGACGAGATCGAAACATGTCTGTGTGTGTGTGTGTACGTGTGTGTGTGTGTACGTGTGTATGTGTGTATGTGTGTATGTATGTAACGAAATGAATGCGCTCACGTTTCTCAGCAACCGCTCAACCGATTTGGACAAACTCGGCGCCAAATGATAGGTCTTGGGGTCCCATTGAACGCTATTGAACGGTTTTGGAATCGGTGAACCGGTTCCGGAGATATGACCGGAATAAGATCCGGTGAATATGGGCCTTCACGCTGGATTTAACGGAAAACGTATCAAAACCATCATGCGACACATCAAATTACTACAGAATTCAAAAATAAGATCAATGCAAGTCGTGTTAAGTGTTCCAGACCACATTGGCTTTAGCTTTGATGATACCTTAATACATTTCGATTAGGCGGAAATCCGGGCAGTTTGGGGGATTCATCCCTTTATCAATGACGTCTACACCATTATCACGATACCATTGTTGTGCATTTTTACTGTAGTGGCAACTCGCCAAATCTGGCCCCAACATGACGGAACCCCAGTGAGACCTAATGAACGGCAATACACGTTTTTTCAGGCATTCGTTGATGTATAACTGTTCGTATATATATTATTATTGATTGTTGGTTGGAGTCAAGGCCCAAGCGCAATGACAGCGGAAGCGGAACGGCAGCGGCAGTGGAAAAGCCCGATCTGCGTAAGCCTACTTGTCGGATTGAAAACTAGTTAGAACTAGAGGTCTAGTATAAGAGAGGAGCGGATTCAAAACAAACTGCCTTGGCAACCTATGCCTAGGTGAATTCTAGCAACACTGCCAATGCAATCAAGATACACACTTAGTTTATTTCACCGAGACCGGCAAAATAAATTGCCGAGAATCCAACAGGCGAAATTTCGTTATAAATTTCGGTAAAAGTATAGAATACCGAACGCTTGGTAATTATCAGTTTTATTCAACTGTCAAATTTTACCGAGAACATCGGTACTTGTATGCCGAGCGTTCAGCTTTTATTTTGCCGAAATACCTCAAAATAAGAATAGATTTAGCTTTTGCCGACTATCGTCGAAATTTCAACTCAAATTAATTGGATTGTTCAGAGAAGCAATAATAATAATAACGATAATAATAATAATAAAACCAAATTAGTGGAAATTCTGTGACACATTCTTTGTCACTCTTCCACTCACCCATCAGCGTGTATCGGAACTACCCAACAAACAATTGATTAAAGACTGAATAAGCAATTTTTTAGCTGAAGCTGCATATTTTTGCCTGGAAATGCTCTAATTCTGCTTCCAATGTTTGTTGGATAGTTGTTTGCAGAAAAAGCAGCGTA